TCAGGTTTTAGTCAGTAACAGTCTGGCTGCTCTCAGCGGCTTGTCTGCTGAGCGAATCTACTGTGATAACCTCAACGGCCTTCATGATGTGATGTTCTTCTACTTCCCTGGCCGCTGTGTCTGTTGTAGCGTCCTGATGACACCCAGTTTGTGCTCCAGTGGATGATGAGAGTCAAACCTTAAATACTCACCCGTGAGCATTTGTTTACAGTACACATCAACTTTAAATGTCCCCCTTTACTGGTGTAAATCTCACAGTCTAAGAAGGCTAACCTGCCATAACCTCCCAGGTGAACCTAATGTGATGGTCCACCCAGTTAATGTGATCAGTGAAACCTGCGGTCAGCTGAAACGGAAGAAGTCACTTGGATGAGTGACGAAATGTTTCTCCCACTGAAAACTCTACGTCCAGATGAACAGAATTAATTTTTAAGAGTTCCTTACCTGGATGACTGAGGATGCATCAAGACATTTGAACAGCAAGTGGGTAGAGTCACAGCTGCGTGCCCAAGTCACTATCCTGTCTGAAAGTGAGCATTTAAAATCTGAAGGTTTGGCTCATAAGTCTTACTTGTACATGTACTGATCCTGTCATTTAAACCATGTTTAACAACCATCCACCGGTAACATAATAAAAAAAAACAATATGTCATCTTAAATGTAATTCTGAACACTCTCACCCTCTGAGATTTATCCTCGGAACAAACAGTGTATTCAAGGTGTACAGCCTAAAAAACCTGGGCTACAGTTATTGTAAATACATTCTGTGTAATTACAGATAAGACTGAATGCTCACGCTGCCTCTCTCTCGCTTGTTTTTTGTCTGTCATTCAGTTCTCAGTCAATGTGTACAACCCTCTCGCTCGGCCCGTCACTTGGCCCGTCAGGCTGCCGGTCAATGGAACAGTGTACAGCGTGTCAGATGCTAGTGGCAAAGCGGTGGACTGCCAGGTCAGTATGTGTGCCAGCAGCAAGTATGAGAGAGCAAGCAGCCTTCTGGAGCCTACATCTTCAGACCCAACTCTTCCACACCTTTCATCATCAGCCGGACGGCCAAGACGGAGATCATTAAGGTAGAGATGTTTGCTCGTATCCAGACGTAGATTCCTCATAGCAAAGCTTTGTTTTTACACTGTTATTCAGTTTACTTCTAAATTATAGGCTGCTGTCATTTTATATGTGTGGGTGTCAGAATGAACGTGCCAACATGTTTTACCTCCCTGTTTAGAGGCTAATATGCAGCGTCTAATTTTGTACTGCAATGCTCTCATCCTCAGACGTCAGTGGTGCAGGAGGTGAGGCAGTGGTTTGCTCCCTGGGTGTCTCAGGTGGTTCGTCTCTATGCTGACAGCAGAGCTCTGGAGCTCGAGTGGACTGTGGGACCTGTGCCGATAGAGTGAGTTTAACACGTGCACACTACATATGTAATGGAGATGTTTTTAGAGATAAGTGGTTGTTGAAATTTCTGTTCTCTTCAACCTTTCTAAAAGCTCAGTGCCTTAATGTCAACTGATCTTTCAGGGGAGAAAAACCTCATATGGGGCAATATTGTGGCAGAGCTTTGCCCTTCTAAATATTTCCTCATATCATAGCAAGTGATTGGCTTAGATCGCCGTTATCTTTTTCCCCATGTCAGATTATAAATACATGGAAAGAGGGAATTTTAGACCTTAAGATTCCATGCACACCCACTGGGGAATAGATTTAGCTCATAATTATTTATTTTTTTATTTGTGAGCGAGAGAAATAAATTCAAGGAAAAGTGAGGAATCTTGGCCAAAATGCTCCCCACACCACCCACCTTTAACCCACGTCACACTTGCTGTCTTGACCTTTTAGTGACAGCCTGGGGAAGGAGGTGATCACTCGTCTGGACACCAGCATCAAAACCTCTGAATATTTCTACACTGATTCCAACGGCAGAGAAGTTCTGCAGAGGAAGTAAGAGTTTGCTTTTTGTTTTTTAATGATGGAAAATGCACTTTAACCTTTTAAAGTTGTTGCAGTTGTTTTGGATGGTATTTTACAGATTATATACAAAGTAAGACAGCTGTACAGTTATGTGATAGTTTTACATTAAAAGAATCCAATTCTGTACACTTAGTGTGTGTGTGTCCCATCCCCCCCAAACAGGAAAGACTTCCGGCCCACCTGGAACCTGCAACAGTCAGAGCCCATTGCTGGAAACTACTACCCAATCAACTCTCGCGCTTATATCAAGGTTTGTGTGTTTGTTAGCTTCCATTTGGAGAGACAAGCAACAAAGAGCATTGACTGTCAGTTCTATGAATTATCACAAGTGATGTTTTCCTTTCACTTGTGTGTCTTCAGGATGATGTGGACCAACTCACTGTGGTAACGGATCGCTCTCAGGGTGGAGGCAGCATCCAGAATGGTTCACTGGAGATCATGGTGAGGCATAAAGTCGTAGCTCATCACCATTAGCATGTTGACCCCATCTAAGCGCACACAAGGAGTTCTTATTAAAGTCTCTCTATCCAACCTCCTCACCCTCAGCTCCACCGCCGGCTGCGCCACGATGATTTCCGTGGTGTTGGTGAACCTCTCAACGAGATCTCTGGCATCTTCCCAGACGGGCTGGTGGTCCGCGGCCGCCTCCTGCTCACCCTCGATCCCCCGCAGACTGCTGCCGACACGCACCGCCCCCTCGCAGAGGGGATGGTGTTGCAGCCGCTGCTTACGTTTACTGATGGAGATCTGAAGCCAAACACTCAGCTGGAGGTATGTAAATGGTAAACGGACTGGTACTTGTATAGTGCCTTTCTACTCATTCACCCAATCACATGCACATTCGTACAGTACTTGTACAAATACTGCATGTATTTTAAAGACATGTTATTAACACACTTCACTAATCGGGTTTCAGAAGTCACGGTGATGTGATCTGTGTTTGAAATATTAGCAGTGCAAGAACCAGCTGGCCTCCATCTTGCAGGTTCCTGTTCAAACACCTTAAACTCCATCTCTCTCTTAAGAGAGACAACAGTTAGACAAGAAACCTGTGCAAGAAAGTTTGGACTGAAGAACACTTTCTGCTAAAGACATGATAATATATTTTCCTGTACAGAAAATGACAAATTTAGCACAAGTAACTTCTGTTGGGTAAGATAATGTACTGTGAAGCCTGGAGTACCTGACAGTGTTGCCAGCCGTTAGCAAGCTTCCTGGTGTAGTCATTTGATACGTGTTGCTTTTCTGTGCCCGACACAGCGTCATGGTGCTGGACAGGTCCATCACAGGAGTAGCACTTGAAGACAGCCAACCATTTATGGTCATGCTATTACATGTTAACCTAATACGTAAGTCTTTAGACTGTGGCAGGAAGCCAGAGTACCTACAGTATGCCTATGCAGAACCCACTAGGGAGACACAAAAAAGATTCAATCAAATCTTACTCATGGTCTGGCTTTCACCTTCCCCAAAGGGTCCTTTCCTGGAAGCTGGACCACCAAATACCTCCAGCTGGTTACAAGTCTATTAAGAGGGAAAAAATGTAAGCACAATTTAAAAAGTCACACAGGTATAAATTTTCCACCATTAAACCTATATTTCCACATCTTAAGGTAGTTCTATAGACGCAGGATACCAGTGATAGCTTTATTAAGTGCCAGCTAACAGTGTGCTTCATGCTATATATTAGCATTTATTTGCTTACAGTTCATGTTAAGAGTTAGATAAACTTTGTTTTCACAGAACAAAATTTAAAGCTTGTTAGTGTAATGTGATAATGTTATACTTATCTATCATATGTCATGCTAACATTCTTAAAGTTTGAATGTTAGCATGCTAACTACCATCTACACTAAAACAATTAAATTTTTCTGAAAGCTCTAAAGTTGTGGGACAGGACTTACAGTTACAGAGGTAATTCTAGAAAAGCAGAAGTTTGAATGTTGTGATGTCGTCGACACAAAGTGTAATGCCGAGCACACTGTAAAATCGCCCCGCACAAAGTAAATCTCAGAGTACCTGCAGGTTGCTGTTGCTGATCCTCTCATATCGCTTCAGCGCTGGTCTGCTTGTAAAGTAGCCAGTCCAGAAATCATGAGCGTCGTCTGCATAGGGGAAGAAATCATCTGTCTTCAATGGCCTGGATAGAAAACCAATGGATTTAGCTGACATTAAAATGCACAAGATGACACTTTTTACAATAGAGTTTAACACCAACAGTGCTGCTAGAACAAGAAAACATTATCCTGCCCCTTTAAAGTTCACAGTACCAGGTGAGGTTTGCTCGGTGCAGCTCCTGCAGGTAACAGGACGGTGTAGAGTAGAGCACGTTGACTTTGCTGCCATTTGCCTGCCGGGCATTTACATAGTGGATCAGCTTGTCCAGGTTCTTGTACCACAGGTTGGCATTCTCATATTGAAAGTCTGAGCTCATGGTCATGATGATGTGGTTGGTCTTATAGACCGTAGACTAAAAAAGGAAGAGGAAATAATGCTTAACAGATTAAACTAAACAAAAAGGAAGAAAAGGGAAGAGTGAAATTAAACATTTCACACATCTCTTCAATCACACACACCTCACACTATTCAAAGCACATTTATATGATGGCTAAGGTAGTGAATGTGGATTATTAAAGGAGGACATTGCATTACACTATCTGTAGATGTCTTTATTATTGTGATCATGACAGGTTCATAAAATAAAACCAGACAGGTTGAGAAAAGATTTATGGGGACCTGCATGAAGATATGCTGACATTACTTGAAACAAGAGGTTCCTACTGAAATTTTACATGTCATGTTAGCTAGTCACAGCTGTATATGGGCTGGGATAAAAAGCACAGCATCCCTTCTGCTTCCTCTTTTTCTAAATCAGAAAGCGTTGTTTGATGTCTTTTGATTTAACATGAGCATTTTTTTTCATAGTGTTAGTTAAACATGCGGTGTTAAGAACACCACATGACTGATAAATCAGTGTCTCTGTGCGCCAGTGTGGATTTGTGTCCAACCTGACTGTTGGCGATGACGAGGAAGCGTCCCACCACATCATCAACATTATAGTCTTCAAGATCAGGATCGTCTCTGATGGGTGGGTCACTGCAGAGCTGGTCCCAGCAGAAGCCCTCAGGAGGGTTGTAGCCATTAGGAAGGATCCCTATTGGTTAACGGGGGCAAACGGTTAAAAAAATAATGTGACACCGTCCTGTTGCTGAGTCCAGAAGTCATTAACATAAAGGGATGAAGAAAGAAACTTTGCATACCAGTAAAGAGGTCAGCCATTGGAGGAGTGAGGCTGTTGGAGGCTCTCCATAGAAGCTCCTGCTCCTTATTCCTCATCCTGCGAGCCCGGTCTTGATAGTCTAGACGACCAAAGAAGAAGCCATCGAATCCCATCTGCAGCAAAAGACAGACAGTTAATGGTTAAAGGAAAGTCAAATGGAAAGCCAGTGAACTAAATTGTGCCTTCATGTAATAATGCAGCATTCTGGAAATAAGCCCATTTGATTCATTGCAGAGCAGCAAATCTGATAATGACGATACAGCCAAAAATTTGTAATGAGAAAACGGAGAGTCTTTCTCGACGTGAGTGCTACCTTCTAACTCTAATTAGCCTCAACTCTTTTCTTTAACTGATAAATTCTCCCATTTTAAGTCTCACTAGAAATCAGGCCTTCCTTAAGGTGACCAATTATGCTCATCCTTCTATTCTGCCCTATACTGCTGATATTAAACATGGCCAACGTTTGAAAGTGTGACAGTGAATGAGCTGAGCAATTCTGAAGTGTGACTTGTGCAAAACTCGAAGAATAAACATAAAGAGCTATGCTACCTGTGCAAACATGGAGGCGTGTTCCCGAGCGTGGCCAAAGGGGTCGATGTGCCAGGCGACGCGGGGACGGCCACAGGCTCCAAAAGTCTCATTAAGGAAC